AAATTTTATCATATTATATAATAACATGCCAACTTTACAAATATTTAACAAAAAAATTTTTTTGGAAAGTTTTTTTACTGATTGTATTAAGTTTTGACTTTAGATTTATAGGAAGCATCGAAGACGTTATGCATCAGATATGTCTGGTAGAATTACTTGGATGCACATTTAACCTATGTATGCTTGGATATTACTCCATTACGGTATGCTAATCATCTTAAAAGGTGAATATAGTAGAAAGGTAGTTGAAATTAATTTAATAAGACTTTGGTAACATCTGAAAAATTTTTATGTCAAGAAACTTATCTTTCATACATTATGATTCTTTCAGTGGTGGAATAAGATTGACAGAAAGGGCATAGTGGCGTACATTATCGTGTACATATCCATGAGTTTTAATATTTTTATATTTTGCTACATAGGTGAAATTTTAACGCAACAGGTAAAAAAAACTGACGATATTACTGGCGCAAAATTAACAAGTTAATACATTTGCATATTTAATGGTGCAATATTTATTAGTGTAAAAAAGTTGGCGAAATAGCATATATGACCGACTGGTATCATTTACCTCATAAAACAGCCATGAGTTTGATCCTAATTATATCAAGATCGAGTGTTGTAATCAAAATAACTGCTGGAAAAATGGTTCAACTTTCTCTCGTAACTTTTAGTGACGTAAGTATCTTTCTTTCAATAGATTTCTCTTTAAATTTTTTAGACCACCTTCGTCATTTTAGGTTATCAAAACGTCTCTCGTTTACCTAAATATGTTACGAACTGTTACAACGTGAATCTGCATGTGATCTAGAAGAATTTTAATATATGTTTACTTGTATAGTATTTTTAAATAAAGATACTTAAATAACAAATTTACATATTGAAAAATATTATATTTAATTATTAATTCATTTACGTATACATTTATAGTAGTCTCATATAAGATCACGATGATACGGTTCCTCTGCAATACAGGTGAAACTACAATATGCAATTTGAAGTAACTTTCCATATTTATTTTTTTGATATAATATTGTAATATCGCTGAAACATTGTAAGCGCCTTCGAGGCGCGTTTTCCGCGCAAAAAATCAACGCAGCACTTCAGCGAACAATTATTGATCAGTCATGCACGCGTCTCTCTCACGAAGTACATCACCCTATCCGTTCACCAAACTACTCCAGCTAAAGATTCGCGCAGGCGCTCGATAGAACTCCAGCCGGTGCACTATCTGTCGCAGTCAGTGCACGTGCGCCTTCCGCAAAATGATCATGACATATTCCGATCATGTAACAAGCGGCACCAAGTTCTCCTATAAAAGTGATAACGATTACAATCTTCAATTGATTCGTTGGTTTCTGATACCAATCGGTGCTTGGCCGCAAATGAGCACGGTGACAAAAATGAAGAGACTCTTTTCACACATACACATTTTAACTTGCGCGTCTTTAATAGCGATTATTATGGTGCCATGTTTGTTATACGTATTACTGGAAGAAAAAGATATCGAGATCAAATTAAACACCGTAGGTCCGCTAAGCCATTGGATGATGGGTATGATTAATTACTGTTTGCTTCTTACACGTAGCGACGATATTCGTCAGTGCCTGTTGCATATGGAGACGGACTGGCGGTACGTTCATAAAATCGAGGATCGCCAGGTAATGATACGACAGGCCAAGATCAGTCGCTTTATCGCCGGATTTTGCGCGGTGTTCATGCAGAGCGGCACATTCCTCTTCGCTATAGCTAAATCGCTGTCAACCACTAACGTCATCGTGGGCAATGAAACTGTCTCGATGCATCCGATGACCTGCCCAATGTATACTAAGTTTATCGATATAAGATTCAGTCCCGCGAATGAGATCATAGTGGGTGTAGAGTGGTTATCGTGTTTTATAGTGAACTCTGTCTCAGTGAGTGCTTGCAGTCTCGACGCAGTCTTTGCAATGCACGCATACGGTCAGTTGGACATGCTGTTTTCGTGGTTAAACGACCTTGTGGATAAAGAGGGAAACGAAAACGCCGAGCAAAGGTTGGCTATTATCGTGGAACACCATTTGAGAGTGCTAAGGTATTTTGTTCAAATATCGAGGATTGCATTTTTATCAAAAGATTATTAAAATATTATTCACAAAAATACCACACATTTAACATTTCATATAAGCTCATTCTTCTTATAAATTTAAAAAGGAATATATCACATATACTACAATTGTACACGTTTTAGTTTTATATCGCGTATGGAAACCATTATGCAACAGATCTGTCTCGTGGAATTGCTGGGATGTACGCTGAATATGTGTTTACTTTCATATTATTTTATTACGGTATGCTAATAATGTGAAAAATGAATATGTGATATAATTACATTCTGTAATTTTGTTACTTATAAAATATCAAATTTAATTCTTTAATATAGAATATTGAAAAAAAAATTTTTTCTAATAAAATTCTAATAAAAAATCTTAAACTTTTGTTTTACAGAATATGGACTCGTTTGATATGGCAAAAACAATATCATATGTTATTATATACCTATCCGTGGCTTTCAATATTTTTATATTTTGTTACTTTGGTGAGATTCTCACAGAACAGGTAATAATTGAAAAGCAAAATTTTAAAATAATACTTAACAACAAGAAAGTTTAATTTGTATTTAACTTTCGCGTTTTGTAATATTTCTTTGACTATTTTTTACATTTTTAAACAATAAAAAGATAAAGTTTAAATTTATTAGTGCAAAAATGTCGGCGAAAGAGTATATATGATTAATTGGTACGAATTACCGCACAAAACTGCTCTTGGACTTATATTGATAATAACACGATCGAGTAACGTCATCAAAATAACTGCTGGAAAGTTATTTCAATTGTCTATTGCAACTTTCGGTGATGTAAGTAATATACTTAAATTTATAACAAAAATTACATTAATAAAAAATTGATATATATTCTACTTACTTTTTATAATTATTTATTAAAAATTATCATTAACGTTCCTATAAATCGATTGCATTTTTCCGTTTAATAAAATCATACATGAAGAGGCACTTAAAAATAATCGGAGTTTGCGTACCATCTAGACGTAGTAACTCGTTGCGTCATTAGGGGTCTCAAGTTGAAACTATTTTGGAAAAGTGTATCAAGGAATGATTCTGGATTGACTGATCGCATACAGCACAAAAACTTGCAAAAGAACATTGTTATAACGCTGCAATGTTGCTGTAATGATTTGTGCTATACAGGATTTCTTCGTCGATGAATTTTTTTGTCTTTGCAAGTAAATTCGGTGATTTTTATTATGATTGATAAAAAAAAAACAAAGTATGTACGTAAAATTTTGTTTTCTTTTGAACAAATATGTTGTTAAAAATGTTTTAATGTTTCAAGGAAGAAGTAAAAAGTAATAAAACATTTTATTAAACAATTGTAGTTATTTTTGGGACTTCCTTCGTACTTACATTCAACTCAAAGCTTGTTATTATGAGCTTTTTAAAGCATTGAAACAGTTTCAGCAGCAGATTTTCCTCCAAAAAAGCAAAGTTTCACACAAACTCTCTGTTCTTTTTTTTTTTAATAACAATCATCAAATTTGCTTTCAAACACAAAGGAAATCAGTCAATCCAGCACATGCGACCTCTAATGGCATAACGCTTTACTACGTCCAGTGCACTGCACTCGAATTTCAGTTATTCTGGATTCCCTCATATTAATTCGAATTTATTTTAATTAATCTTAAAATTTTCCGGATTTTGGATTTATATCATAAATAGGAAGGAAGACGTTACTGTTTCAGGTAGTTAAAACTTCCATGGTATATTTGAATATGTTGCGAACGATGTCATCCTCTGCGTGAATTATATTAAATTAGAAAAAGTAAAAAATATATTTTGTATAGAACTGTTAGTACGAGTATAATATAGTAGAACTATTTAATAAATAGAAATTATGTTGAACACAGTACAATTTTTATAATTACGCTATTTAACAATAAAGTTGCATGTCATCCAACTTTCTCCAAATTAAAGATTAATATAAACAAAAATGAAAATATATTGATTCGTGAGTATGGAATATCAATTAAATAAGAGAGATGTTGATGTTCTTTACTAATATATCTTACATATTATATGATATTACGATTCACATATTTACACACAATAGCAAAAGAAAATTAATAGAACCAATATTACGCTACTATTACAATATATAAAATTCCGTGCATTTTCTCCGTCCAAAAGGTCAACGCTACATTTCCGCAGCAATTATCGATCACATGTTCATGCGTCTCTGTCAGGAAGCGCACATTACTTCGCCCATTGTTCAAACCGCTCTAAAGATTCGCGCACGCGCCCGTTCGAACGTAGCTTTAACAGGTGCACCGTCCGACGTGGCCAGTGCATCGTGCGCATCCGCGAAGTGATCACGATGTACTCCGAGCGTATACTGACGAGCATCAAATTCACGTATAGAAATAATAACGATTACAGTCTTCAACTTACCCGTTGGTTTCTGATGCCGATCGCAGCTTGGCCACAAGCGACCACATCGACGACGGTGGAGAGAGTCTCCCTACAAGCACACATTCTTGCTTGCTCGTCCCTGATAGCAGTTGTTATGGTACCATGTATGTTGTACGTGTCACTGGAAGAAAAGGACGTCCAGATGAAGTTAAACGCGATGGGTCCACTAAGCCACTGGATCATGGGCACAATTAATTATTGGTTGCTCCTTACGCGCAGCGATGACATCCGTAAATGTGTGCAGCATATGGAGATGGACTGGAGGCTGGTTCGCAGGAACGACGATCAGGATGTAATGTTGCGATACGCAAAGATCGGCCGCTTCGTCGCCGGATTCTGCGCGATATTCATGCAGAGCGGAACGTTCCTCTTCACTGTGGCCAAGGCGATGACATCCATGAATGTGATCATCGGCAATGAAACTATGTCGGTGCACCCGATGACCTGTCCGATATATAGCAAATTTATAGACACAAGATTCAGTCCCGCGAACGAGATCATGCTGGCTGTGGAGTTGCTGTCGTGTTTTATAGTGAACTCGATTACGGTGGGTGCTTGCAGCCTCGCGGCAGTTTTCGCAATGCATGCTTACGGCCAGCTAAGTATGTTGTTCGCTTGGTTAAATGATCTCGTCGAAGATAAAGATAAGGGAAATAATTTTGCCGAAAAGAAGCTGGCTACGATTGTGGAGCATCATTTAAGAGTACTGAGGTATTTTACTTAAATATAAAAATTCAATTGCGTTTGTGCGTCTTTAGCATACAAGACACAATTTAATCATATATTAGTCATTACCAATATTACGATATTCGTAATATTTGTGCGAAAAATGTGCAAAGACATCAAAATTCAAACATGTATTTTTATAATAAATCTAAAAAGTATGTTGGATTTACGTATATGCTTTTCAGTTTTATATCACGAATGGAGAATGTCATGCAAAACATCTGTCTTGTGGAATTGGTGGGATGCACGATGAATATGTGTTTACTTGCATATTATTCTATTACGGTATGCTAAAGACTTAAAAAGGTGAATATATGCTATCAGAGCACTTTATAACTTCTTTATTTATATGAAATGTTAAATCTAATTTCTGATTTTTCAGAATTGGAGTGATTTTGATGCCGCAAGAATAACATCGTATATTATCGTATACGTATCTATGGCTTTCAATATTTTTATATTTTGTTACATCGGCGAGATTCTCACAGAACAGGTAATTCCTCGAAACTGATGACAATTATTTAGAATTATCCGACTTATTATGCTTAAGAATATTGCATAATTTGATGGTTCCATAAAAAGTTGTTCAATGATTTGAATTTTGTCTTGAATACGTTTCTTACTGTTTTTCGCATTTTTTAAAACTCTTATACAGAAAACTTTAAAATATCTACATTAATTTATTTATTAGTGCAAAAATGTTGGCGAAAAAGCATATATGACTAATTGGTATGAATTACCGCACAAAACTGCTCTTGGTCTCATTTTGATAATAGCGCGATCAAGTAATGTTATCAAGATTACCGCTGGAAAATTATTTCAATTGTCTATCGCAACTTTTGGTGATGTAAGTAAAACGAATATCGTATTTATAATAACGTGGTACAAATAAAAATTCGATACATTTTCTACAAATTATTATAAAATTTTCCTTCACATTTCTCCTCGTTCAATCTCAATCTGAACGATGTATATAT